TCCCCAGCCGGGCTGGCAGCAGCCACCCCGTCCCCCCCGTCCCCTGGGCTGCACTCGTGGCCAGGAGGAGAGGGGGCCAGCCATCCCCTGGATGGGAGACGCTGTGCAGCACCGGGCTTAGGGGGGCTTGCGGAAAATTCAAAATTTATTTATGGCCAGGCTAACCGGTGCCGTAGTCCCATCATTCTGCTTCTTTAGTGAACAGCCCTTTGAGTTCCAGATCTCGGCTCTTTTTTCCTTATTGCCTCATTTGCCAGACACGCCAGGAATGAACTTTTCTTTCTGACTCATCGTTTGTTTTCTCGTCAAGTCTAAACACGTTTACTGGATCGGGACTTATCTGATGTTCTTCATACTGTTCGGAACCAAACCAGCCTCAGGAAATAGAGCTGTGCACCCTCAGGCTCTGCCTAAGTAGCCTACACGGGGAATCAGCCTACATCCAGCTTAACCTGTATTTATCATCCTGCGAGCATCTGCTTTCCATATTCTGATCGGAACAGCCCTTTGGAGTCACCAGGGATGCACTGAGAGGACGAGGCTGACTCTAACCGCTTACCGTACCGGTTTTCTCAAGAGACGCTCCGATTTTGGTGCGCTGATTTAACAGCCCGCCACCTCACACGCACACACATCCGCAACTTCTGAAGACACCAGAACCAGAAAAAGTGGCAAACTGTTAGCAGCCCGGTACCGCAGACCTCACTGGCACCTCTGCTGCTTCCCACCCGCAGCCCGCGTCGCGGGGCGGCAGAGCAGCCATTCCAAGGCCGGGTTATAACCAGCTCCTCCGCAGGCTGCGGGAGCAGGGGACCACACTAAAGAGCTGCGAAAATACCAAATACCGAACGTTTGAGCTTCTCAGAACTGTCCCCATTAAAGCTGATCACTGCACCACCCCCAGCGCCTTCGCTGTTCAGACTGGCGGCGCATCGGGGCAGGAACGCCTTCCCTGCAGCAGACACCCTGTGAACCCTTTTCGCGCCGTTCTCACCAGCTCCTCTTCTCACCCCCTCCCTCTGCTCATTAGCAGCCTCAAGGACACTCGGCGAGCCTCAGAAGCAGCCATTACACCCAATCCCCGGGAACACGAGCACCACCCTCCCTTTCAACAGTTCATTGAGGAGGATGAGGAATAAACAACTTCAGCTGAAACTGGGTTACTTGGAGTTATTTCTGTGCCATGGGAAGCGAGTGCCGAGGCCACTCTCCTGCCACTCGACCTCCTCCCGTGCACCCCCCAGCCGAGAACGGACGCCCTACTTTCCCGGGCACGGAGAGCTGTAAGGTGATTTTGCCCTCCTCCCTCTCATGACAACGCCTGGCGCTGGGATGCTCCGGAGCCCATCAGAACTACCACGAGTACGGAGCGGCTGGGGTTGCACCTCCCGGGAAGGCTCACGCCCAGCCCACGGGGCCGACTCGGTCTCCGGCCGAGGCCGTCGGGCTGCTGCAAGCTGTGCTGCCCCGGGAGCAGCCACACGGCCCTCCTGCTCTCCCCTCGCCCATCGGCTCCCGCTCCTCCCCTATCTCGCCTCCCTAGTCTAAACTACAGCGGTTTTGCAACAATAATAGCTCAAAATCTTTAAAAAGGTCAAGCCTCTCCTGCGATCGGCTTTAGTGAGGGCAGGCGGCAGAGTCACTGCCCGAGCCCCCCAAGGACGCTCCAGGGTCAGGCACAGCTCTATCTAAATTCCCCTGCCGGGAGGAGGAACATCCACCCTGCCCCAGCCTCCTCCTCCTCTCCCCCGGGCTCCGGGCAGCGTCCCCCACGCCTCTCCGTCCCCCCCAGGCACCTACGGGCAGGGAGCAGAGAGATTTGGGAAGGGGTTCAAGCCTTGCTCCATGAGGCAGCCGCGCTCTTGCCCATCAGCTCTTCAGCAGCATCCGCCACCTCTGGCTCTGCTGGGAAGGGACTCGGAGGGGGAGCGATCCCCCCCCAGGGGAATCCAGGCAGGGCCCTCCCCACCCGTGGCCCTCCCAGACCTCTGGGCTCAAAACGGGCACCTTAGACGAGTCTCTGCAACACCTTTACCCCCCTGCCGATGGGCTCGGACGGATGCAGACTTTTAAGCTGCAGCCAACAGCTCGCCCCCCCGCCAGGGTACAGTGCCTGCGCTGCGATGGGGGGGGCCCTGGTTCGTCAAACAACCTGGGGGGCAGGAACCGATGTTCTGTTAGCTGCACGTGCACAGTCTGGCACTGCTTATTTTGAGCTGTTAGCCATTAACAAAAAGGGAAACAAACGGTCCTGCAACGGCTATCCACGAGCCTGCTTCTGCTCAGCACGAGAGGAAGCCGCTTGCTCGTCTCGTCCTAATTCCTAGGCACACAGAGATTCTCCTTTTAATTACTGGAGGAACCCAGCGCCCTCACCACTGCCATCCCCAGCTGCGGATACGGTTTGTGAACCAACTCCCTGACCCGGGAGAGGGACCACACCGCGTCACCGCCCCAGCAAAGCCAGCCGTCCCCAACCGCCCGCGCTCGTCCCATGGACTGCAGGGAACCGCGACGGCCGGGATGCCCGTCGCCTCGGCACGGACCCACACACCGCCGGACTGAGCACCTCTGGTGGACACGCCAGCAACAGCAGCTCCTCTGCTCCGTCCACACCAGCGTGCACCGTCCCTTCGCTCCAAGCCGGGAGCCTGCACTGCTCGGCAGGGACGCCAACGGCTCCGTAACCTGAGCACAGCACGGGCGGGCGGCGGAGAAGGTGCCAGCGGCTGTAAAAGCCCAGGGAACGAGGAAGGGAGGCTGGAATACAGACAGGTTCCATCTGCCTTAAGTAACTTCTCATATACAGAGTCATGGTTTTAATTTCGGGATAATTTACTGATCTAAACTTTAAACATACTCTCCTATTTTACCCAGCGGTCCTGCTCTTTGCAAAGCTGATCACCCAGCTCTTCGCAATGGGGATGCTGGCAAGGCGTCAGCCGCGGCCATCACCACCCGGCTGACGACACCGCAGATGCATGGCTGGCGAAGACCCCTCTCCTTCTCTGCCCATCCAGACACCGTCCGACACGCACGTCGGTGAGCAGTGAAGCTACAAAGCACTCGGTGCCCCGCTGCTAAGCCAGAGTGGCACGGGGGTCCCAGGAGATCGCTCCCCGCGAGCCAGGCTCTCGCAGGCTGCTGCAGCTCCCCCCGTCGCTGCGCCCCCCGAACGCCCTGCTGTACCCCGACAGCTCGGGCTCCCTCCTCTGCCACCTCACACCAGGCACAAGGATGCTGCTGCCATCACCAAGCCCTCCTGCCCACCACCTGGGACTGCCACGAACATCGGGAGCAGCGGGGAAGGGCAGTTCTCCACCCCCAACTCAAAATAAAGATCCATGGGGAAAGATGAGTTGCTCAATCCAGAGCCGCTGTTTAGCCCAACGCCTGTTGCCACACGAGCTGCTGGGCCCAGAGCAGATTTCTCTTCCAGAAAGCAAAGCACCTTGTGCAAACGCCTGGAGTAGGATTCACGACTGTGAATGTGAGAACCCATCGAACACCTCTGGGAAGGGAGAGATGTCCTTGTATGTCAGGGCATAAAGCAAATTCTAAGAGCTGGGGGCTAAGGCCAAGCTTTCTGAGGAAGCGAATCCCCCAGGGTCCCACGCAAGCACAGGGCCTCTGGTGCTCCTCTGTAAAAACCCCGGTCCCCACCGCTGCCACCCGCTGGGCTACGCTAGAGCTGAGCCTGCGGGTGCGGTGCTGGGACCGCTCTGGCGTTCCCACTTTACGCCCCCACCAGAAATAATCCAAGAGGGCACAGCTATAAAGCTCTCGGGAACCAACACTAAGCCACTATCAATGAACTATTTTTGCCAAGTCGTTAACAGTCACCTGCATTTACCAGAAGACTACAGAAAGCAAGAGGAAAGCATCCAGCCCCGGTGACACAGTCGGCAGCGGCTCCAGTTCTTCTTTCCCGGGGCCGTGACTTCACTGCCTGCGGTGGCTGGGACGGCGGGCTGGCTCTGTGGGAAGAGGAAGGGGGAAGCTCTCCAGGGAGCCAGAAACGATGCTCTGCAAGTGGGAACATTAGCTAGCAGGAGAAACGCAAGCAGGGAAGCTGCAGAGGTCAGGGAACGGGCAGGTAACAGCTCGGTACAGGAGACAATCCAGCAGGTAGCCTGCAGCAAGCCAGGGCTGCACGGCAAGCTTTAAAAGCAAACAACCACGGGACTGTGCTTTATTTTAAAGATGCTTAAATCCAGCAAGCACAAATGCTTTAATTGCTCAGCTCTCTGGCAACAAGACAAACCCGTAATGTTTTATCCCCTGAGCCCGTTTGAAATCAAATGGTCTGCTTCAGACTGCACGCAGCACCGTGTCTGACTTCCCGGGCTGACAGCTTGCTCGAGCGCCGGCTGGAGCAGCGAGGAGCTGCCGGTTAGCAGCGGGGCGCAGAGAGCTGCCCCCCCGGCGCCCAGCGCGGCGCTGAGCTCTCCAAGGTCTGCTTATTCCACCTTCCGCTCTTTCCCCGGATTCTTAAGGCCAGTAATACCTAAAGGGTAGTGAGAAACCCACCGCTGAAGCAGGAACATCACGGTGCTGTGGCACCACGAAGTCCTCTGCAGACCCGACCCTCCTGCGCGCCGTCAGATCAGCCGCCGGAAGGAGAAGCGTCCCAAAACGCGGTGACGGTCTTTGCGAACGGTTCGCTTGAACTTGCTGCCATTTTGAAAACTGGCAAGGAACTGTTGAGTTGGCCCAGAGACGTTTCTCTGGTGCAAGGCTAATCCTCAGCAGGTCAGGGTGCAGGACTCCATCCATACGGAGAGTGACTGGAAGGGAGTGGGAACAGACTGCACAGCAGCCTGGCTGTTAGCCCTCTAGGACGCTTGCCAAATGCCGTGTTATTTTTTGCATTTAGCAATCTGTTATTTAAAGGCAGCCCCATCAGGAATACAGCCTGCGGCGTCCCAGTCCTGCGCTGCCAGGAACAGGGCACAGCGGCAGCTCTGGACTGGCCGAGGTGGCCACCAGATCTCACAATGGGCCAGCGTGTCTGGCGGCAGCGGAGCAGCAGCACTTCGCCGGGGCAGTGAGCCCCAAGCCTCCGGATCCCTCAGCGCCTGGACACCAGAGCGGGGTGACGGAAGGGGAGAGACCAAGGCCGGGTTTGGTGACAAGCGAGGACGCTCACGTCGGAGCTGAGGAATCCGCAGGGTGCTTTTACAGCGGGCCTATATATAACCCCCACGTCTTGAGAGGGCCTGTGAGCGGAGAGCGCTGACAGGAGGCGATCAGGAAAACGCTCCTGCCTTTCTGTTAACTCTTCCAGCATCTTTATGGAAGAACTGCTTGGACTTGAGCTTGCAGGAAACCTCAGATCTGTCAAAAATGTTATCGAACCAGGAGCGAGCTGCCCTCCTGGAACCGCACGAACCCCTCAGTGTGTTTCAAAAGGGAAGAGGAATCCATGGCGTAACTTTTTTTTTTAATCTTTTCCCTTGGAAGGCAGTGTACATCTGCAAAACCTTCTTAAATATCCCTGAATTACTGCCAGATCGGTTCGGTATTGTATTCGCAAAGAATATGGCAAAAGAAAAACTACGTGCCTCGCCACCCTCCGCTCCCTCCGAGCTGATCTGTTTGCGCCGCTCCTCGGTTCCCAGCATCTCCTGCCCGCCAGGGCTGCTGGTTTACACCAGCGACGGGAGGGGAATGGAGGCAGAAGAAAAGGTTCCTGTTCTCATCAGGGAAGCTTTCTGATCTGCTCGTGTCAAAAAGTCTCCAAAGGTGACCTAAGGTTTCCAGCGATCCATCTCATGGACCTCAGAACATGAGAACACACTGAAATACCAGCTTTCAACATCGCTCCTCAACTCAAAGAGGGAAAGGTCTGGCTGGAAAACTACCAAGAGATAGGACAGAGACCATCACCTCCCACCACCCTGCATTCCGTATTTACGCAGGAGTCTGGTTTGTTGCCTCTTCCCCAAAATAAGGATGCTGTCCCCGTACCTCAGGGTACCGCAAGATGAAACCTCACGCGCCGGCAGGTCCCCCGCCACCGATCCTAACGCAGCCAAACACTTCTAACCCTCTGCGACACCTCAAGGCTTAAAAACTAAGAGGCGGCCAGGCCACGCAGGACGGAGCCCACCCTGGCGTTACAGGAGGAGCAGCGCCCCAGGACTCGCCAGCCGGCGCGGGGTACCCAGCAGCAGCTCAGCCGACAGGGAGAGCCAAGATTCCACTTACTATAAACCAGCAATAACTCGCGGGCTTAAACAAGCGCCCGTTATTTACCCTGGCTGCACAACCCAACCCATTTGGCCTTACACAGGGTTGGTGCATAGCAGAGAGACGTACCCGTAAATGATTTACTTGGGAAAAATATGCCAAACTTATTACCTATTAACAATATCTGACTGTCCTATTACAGCAACGGGGTGGCACAGCTCCGATTCTTCCCTGAACCGTTGCTGGCAAGCTCATTCCTGGCATGCACGATGAGTGAGGGAAAATGCGGCTCCGAAAGCGCGCAGGATAATGCTGGAATTAATCTAGAAGCAGTGCTCTGACCACGGCAGGGGAGCACCCACCGGTTCAGGACCCCTCGGCACCCCTCAGTAGAGGGGTGACACAAGGCGCGGGAGGGGAAGGTCACGGCGAGACAAGCCAGAGACCGAAGCCTCCATCCACCACCGGCCGGGAACACGGTGCCTCCCTCTCCCAGGGGTGCCATGGCCCGTAACACCAATTGCCAATGGTGTGCCGGTGCACCGAATTAATTACGTTAGCACCGAAGAAGAATTTTGACTTGTGTTGGTTCATCACTCCAGAAAACAAGTCTGATGTGTGATTTACAGGCACGTCACGTTACTGGACAGCGAGGCTGCCCCAACAGAGGCTCTCACCCTGCAGCCAAGGAGTCACAACCTTAACTGCAGTTAGAAACCAGATATTGCTGACCCACGGCCCAAGGAAACAGCTGGGCTAGGTCCTTCTACGCGCTAATTCCCAAGGAAAGACGGTGCAAAGACCTTGCTGTTGAGAGGGGACACCAGGGCTCACACTCATCTCAGGAGAGCCGGGCACTACAGAGCTGGACATGAAGGAGAAGTTGCTTTCCCAAGGGTTGGGGAGAAGGCTCATGGACACCATGACTCCCCTAAACTTGGAGTTGTGGGTCTGATATGGCAGGAGGGCTGATGGGAACTTAAAGCACCCTTGAGAGTCAAGAGGAGAAGCAGGAACTGACTGCTCCAGGGTCTCTAGGCCACCAGGATAATCAGGCATTGAAAAGGATTGTGTCTTGGCAAAGTGGTTTGGCTGCCTTCTGAGGGAAATCTGTAACGTGGAATGACAAGCACACAACAAAGAAATCAATTTATCCTTGAATTTTCTCCTCTACTAGTTCAAGAGACCTTAGAAAACCACCAGGCTTTGTCCCCACCACTCTCCTGCCTCAGACCCCTTGGCTTGGCGGGCTCCCCGAAGCAAGGCTGCGCAACCTTTTTCAACCCTTTCAGTGTAAGCATTACCTTCAGCTGCCCGTTTGAAGAAGACTTTGCAGCTACCACAAGTGAGGGCTCCATAATGGCACCCAGATGCTTCATCTCCACAGATCAGGCAAGTCTTTTGAGGTGGAAAGTAATAGTCGATGGGCAAGACGTGCTCACGGCCAGTCTCCAACCTGCAGCATAGAACAGGAAGAGAAGAAGGGAACGGGTCAGCAAATGAAGTTGGGGCGAGGTACGGGCAAGCACAGCAGACAGCGCTTGGGAGAACGTTCAAGGCAACCCCCCAAATTTCAGTGATGGGACAAGCCAAGCGCTGATCAGGAAGGAGGCAAGCAACGACTAAGCCAAACCTCGCTCCGACCACGCAGAAGACCACACTGGGGCGCCCCTCCTGACATTGCCCCTAGGTACGGCGTGTGACGACGCGTGACAAGGCACTGGCACGGCGACGGCGCAGCCTGCGAAGAGAAGGCAACTGGGACTGGCTGTTGCAGCGTCCGTGTAATTTTGGCTTCAATAGTGAGGCTTGTACACCAAAAAAGGGCTCTGCGTGCCAATTAAGCTATGTGATCCCACTCCGTTAAGGTCACTGTTGTCACTTCACTACAGATGAATTTATCCTTTTGATTCTTAATTTAGACAAATTAACTTTTCCTAGGCTATCTAACTCCCTTAAGCTATTCATTTCTTCTTGCTTGTTTTCTACCTATTCCCTCTTTCAATACCCGGCAACAGCTGGACTGAACCTTCTTCCAGGACGCCTTGCTCATCCACATGACTTCTAAATCCAGCCAGAAGCCGCTGGTGAACAAAGTATTTGCTGTGTCCCAGTAGACTCTTGTTTACACCCATCCCGTGACTAAAGGCGCCGCCTCTGTGTCTTCCCATCACACGGGGTACACTGGGACAGTGCCACCGAGGCCCCTGCCCTGCATCAGCCCCACGGGCAGAGCAGGGCGCTGCCAACCACCGAAGGGCAAACACAACACGAAAACCAGAGCCAGAACCAAAAGTTGCAGGGTCTGCTATGCAGCAGTCACAATTACATGTTGGAAGGGGCTCAGCGTGGATTACAGACCTTCGCATTTTCCGCTCGCCAGCTCAGTCGTCCGAAAGACCCATTTTGGGTTTTCACTCTGGGTAGCTGGAAACCAGGGTGGGGACAGAAACCAGCTTTGAGCAGGGGCAGAGCATGGGCTCCCGCGAAGACCGCGGCCATCTTTGCCTGTTGCTGCTTTCCCCAACCCCCAGTTTCAACACAACCTCTTCCACGTTCTGCTGGGAAGCACGAGGAGCCTCCTGCAGCCCTGGCGCAGCCCAAGGAGGTGCCACGCAGCGCTGCCGGAGCGCTCGGGAGGCCGAGGCCCTCACCTCCACCCCTCCGACCGCCCCCCGACTGCCCGTG